GTCATAACTCAATAAGCAAAGTTCCATGTTTTTTTTAATCTGTTACGATGAAGCTTAATAGAAACCGCTTACTCATTTACCAAGAGCGAGAAATTCCAGGGTTATTGCCCAAGAAGGGTGGCTATTGAACCAAAATGCCACGGTTGGTGAGCCGCGGGTCACAACATTCGTTGCCATAACCGAACTGTAGGAAAGAGCACGAAAAGAATGGTCTTTTCGGTACTCTACTTGAATCAAACTTTTTAAACTGAAAAATAATTTTTAAAGTTTTAGGCCTTAAAAACTTATTTAGTAGGACTATTTTAAAAAACTGAACTTAAGTTCTCTAAAAACATAAAAAGTGAGTTTTTAGAGTTTTTAAACTTAAACTCACTCATTTCTTTTTTCTTCCTCCCCTCTCACTCCAAATCTATCTCTATCTCTTTTCTTCTTCTATCTCCTCTGTTTTTTTTATACATTTTTCGTCTCTCCTCTAATTCGCTCTCTTCATTCTCTCGGTTCTTTCTCTCACTGTTTTTCCTCTCTATCTCGTCTGATCCTCTCACTTCTTTCTCTTTCCTTCTATCATCTCTTACTTTCTTTCCTTCTCTCTCCTCTTACTCCCTCTCTTGCGACTCCCTCTCTTGCGGCCCCCTCTTTTTAGATCTCTTTGTTTAATTTAAGTCGTAAGATTTAAAAATTTTAAATCACAAACCAATCAAGTTTTTAAGTGTTAAAGAAAATTGTTTTTAAGAAATGTTCTTAAGAAATGTTTTGAAAAATGATAAAAAAAAAATTACAAATAAGATACCAAACAAACCCGAATATTCTTCAAGGTTTTGATTGAATAATATGAAAGACAACGCCATATCACCAGGGAAAAAATGGTTATATAGTTTACCTAAAACCAAGACTTGCTAGGAATCCTATGTGAAACTTGCGAGAAAAATAACAAAACTACATAATATCCTCAAAACTAAAAATCCAAATTTGACATAGCAAACAAAGGAATTTAACCTATAAAACCCATAGATCACAAATTATCAGTGAGTTTGACACGTGACACCGTTTTCGAAGAGAAAACATATTACGGGCCTAAATCCGAGTTGAGAGCCCAAACCTATGTTGTGTGGACCTTGATGTTCTATTTAGGCTTATCAAGTTGATCTTCGATGTTGGAACTAAATTCGAGCATATCTGCGGACGAAGACAGTGTTCAATCGGAATGACCCATGAACTCCGTAGAAGGGTGAATGGGGTTGATTATGGGTGTGATTGATTCCATATCGGATTGCCTACATATCTCTGGGATTATCAAATCACTATTATTGTTGAAGAAATGAGTATCTATGATGTGTACGACATCAAAACACATCATTGACGAAGGTGCCTTGGCTTAGGTGCGTAAGAGATGTTTTTCCATGTCTACGCGTAGACGAAGGTGAGCAAGAGATGTCTTTCCATGTCTACGCCTGAGAGAATATGTGCGGAAAGAATGTGTGTTATAGCTATTAGATGATCAGAGAGAAGTCCCAAATAAATACACAGGGTAAGATATTTATGAGATATTGAGGGAGCAATCCCTATTTAACAGAAGAGACTATATAGGAGGAAATCTAGGATAAGATATTCAGTTATCCTAATATTATGATTACATTGCATAATCCACAAGATATCCTTATTTGACTTGAATTAGGGTTTCCTTACTTTGGAGACAAGTAATATATTTAACGGGCTTAGAGCTAATGGAGTTGTGAAGGATTACCTTATCATGTGGTAGTCTGATCCGGAATACCCCGTGTAGCTATGATCTCACTTTGAGGACTTTCGAGTCATTCTAACCACCCTTGTCTCATGAGCCTAGAAAAATCATGATCCCACGTTCAAGTTATTCTGCCATCTATTGTATCCAATATCATGTCGTTCGAAATCAATCCTTTTTTTTGTCTCTATCTGTGCTCTTAGCATCGGTTTAGCCACACTGCTATTGCTATATGGGAATCATGAATCATTCTTTAGTGCTAGCACTAAGTAAGCAATTTTACATCTCCCTATGATCGAGTAATCAAACTACCTCTCTCTCTTCCTCAACAAGATCTAGGCTTCGCTTGTCCTGATCCTTAACTAATTTCAAAACTAGAATTGCTTCTTTTAAATTTTGAATTTGAGTTTTAATTTTTTAATTTCTTTTAAAACTCAAAATAATTAACAACCAAACCAAACCAAACGACTTCAGATATACAAAAAAAAATTGATTAGTAAAATCTTCTTCGATTCTCATGGTATTCCTCTTCACTTGGAAGTGAGACGTCTTATATTCGAATATCGTAGATGACGAATTCAATACCAAATTAGATTGCTCATTGTGTGGCTTAGCCAAACTCCTCATTTCCTTAATGTAAAAATATCGATGTATTAAAAAAAAAACTTCTTCGATTCAATTTTTACCGTAAGTACATCGAATCGGGGATCGATTTGAGGAGAAAGACGGAACGCGAGACAGAAGCTGTGGCTGGTGTGGTGGCTTATGGTGCCGTATGGTGGGCGGGGGAGCCTCATTAGCGACAGTTGTTGCGTTGGCGTATGTTATTATGATTTCTGGGATACAATTGTTGACGGCCTCTTTGACTTTCATGCTGGACTTGAATTGATAAACTTCACAAGCTGATGCTGCACTTCAAAGAAACTTCGTCATCTTTCATGCGCCAGAAAATTAGGGTTGCAAACAGAAGAACCCAGTTGACCGTTTATTTTGTTTTCTGGTATATTATCCGACGGTTATTAGTTTAAGAGTTGGTCGGTAGGGTGTTGACATTGCCATTGCAAAATTTTGGGAGAAATATTTTAGTAATTTGACTATATTGATTTTATTAATCAGTCTTTTGCCGACAAAAAATTAGATAAATAAATCATACATTTATTTCATTGGCTAAAACAATTATTATTTTATTTTTTTAACCAAAATGGTTCATAAGATTGGCATAACTTATGTATGGTCATTGAGATTGAAAATCGATAGAAGTGGTAACTAAATTTGTCCACGGTCTATTATTTTGGTCATTATGTGAATTTGAGAGTGTTTTTGTCCAGTCAACACCTCTACTTGTTTTTTCATTTAGCAGAGATTTTTTACGGAATGACAAAATGATTGACAGTCTACAAACCAAAGCGCAATTTCTATCGATTTTCAATCTGAATTACCAAAGTGAAGAGTTATGTTAATCTCATAGATTATTTTGATTAAAAAAATTAATAGTTCTCTAATTCGATATTATCTACACTACGAGTGGGAGATTTAGTTAAATCTCATAATGGACTAGTCATATTTCGATATTCTACACAAACGAGTGAGGAAGTGTACTAAACCTCACAACAAGTTAGTCATAATAATTCAACAAAATTTAACATAACACATTTTTCTTACAAATGAAAACAAATACAAATAAACTGTAGTTCTAAGCAATGGCTGGTACAAATATTTGTGATAACCTAATCAACAAATAAGACTTTCTTTTACCAAAAAAAAAAAAAAAAAAACAAGTAAGACTTTCCTTCCAAAGAAGAAAAAAGGAATATTCGATCTGATTCCATATCAAGATTCATGGGGGTAATTACGCGAAATATGTTTCCTGATGGGGTTACAACGCTAATCTTAATTAAGCTCGAAATTACTCAACTACCTACCCCAACTTGAATCGACGTGGGACCCAACTGATGGATAAAGAGGACGAATCCACGTCAATCTGACTCTGCATGCCGTGGAATCGATTCAGCAGTCCCCTCACATCCGTTGATTCTAATGTAGGTGGTCCCTACACCAACACCATCGCGCATCTTGCACTCCACTTGATATTCGGCTGGTTTAGTAGTTGACATTGTGTTTAAATGATATTTCTCTTCGTAATAATTGTAAAAAAGAAGTTTTAAATTGAACTTGCATCGTTGATGAGGCGAATTTAAAAATAGATTTATTTTATAAATAAAAAATTTGACTGCTTTCAAGTTCCAAAAAGCTAGGCGAAAATTTATCTCGAATGTTATTTTGTGGTTGAAAAAATATAAACTGGTTAGGCTTCCAAAATCGAGAAGGGCGTTCATGGCACACAATAACGGTTGTTGTTTAAAATATCAATATATCGATGTCAGTTATCTTTGATAGAATTCATGGTAATTTATAATGCGATGAGTGTTTAAACTTATTCTTATTTAGTCAAAATTAGAGAAAATTTTCTTTAAAAGTTCAAAAGTTTTAAATCTGTAATGGGTTCCGGTAAAATTTATGTACTGAATCATATATCTCGCTGATATATAGTTAGGCATTTCACTTTCTCTTTCCATATTGATCCTAATTTTTCGAATAAGCTGCATATGAAGCCAATTTAGGAATGACATTTGAGATGCACAAAGTAGTTTCTCTCAAGAGGAGATACCAATCCCAATTCAAACAAGAGACGCATGTATCCAAAAGTGTGTTTGTAACTAATGGGAATATTCTTGAGAACAAATCGCTCCGTCCAAATCCAAATTCTTGGGGTGTGACATTCATACCATCACGTTATACTATTAATTTATGGATTATAACATGCGTAGATGACATAATTATGATAAATATACACGTATTATGATAAGAATGAATTAATTTCTCCACGTAATAATGTGACAATTACAATGAAAATTTCCTATAATTATCCAAAATACACGTTAAATGATAAATATATACACGTGTTATGATAAGAATGAATTAATTTCTCAATGTAACAATGACATTCACGAGGAAAGATTTCAGAATAATTCAAGATGCACGTTAAATTAGGTTCCCCAGGACACGGCTGTGACAACCACTACTTGGCCATGTGAGATAGATTCTATAAACTTACAGCAGGTGATCTTGCAGCTTCACAGGCTTCCTAAACTAATATAAATACCACCCCGTAGCCACTCTATTTTCATCAAGAAATCAAACAAGTCCGTTCATTCCGTTTATCCGTGCCTTTTGTATTATCTGTGTCTATTTTGTTAGGAGAAGTAGTAGTTTGTGCCTTAGAAACACACTTTAGAAAAAACAGAGAGTAAAAAATGGGTAAGGGAGGCCAATCCTGCAATGGCGTGGTTAGAGACGCCAAACCTGTTGAGCAGGAAAACATGGCTGTCTGGCTAGTTGATGTTAACACCATCAAGATCCTACCTTTCAAGCTCCCCGCTATTGGTATGTACTTATCTCCCTACTTTTATTTTCATCGCTAGTTTTTTTTTTCGGTTTTTGATTATCAGTTTTCAAGTTTCGTTGAAGTATTGGCTAACATCTTGCTCTCCTGTTTATTGGGATTTCTTAATTTTAGGACCGAATGATGTTCGAATTCGGATTAAGGCTGTTGGCATTTGCGGAAGTGATATTCACTACCTCAAGACCATGAAATGTGGGGATTTTCAGGTTAAGGATCCGATGGTGATCGGACATGAGTGTGCTGGGATCGTAGACAAAGTTGGGAGCGAGGTGAAGCATCTGGTGCCTGGTGACCGTGTGGCTGTTGAGCCCGGCATCAGCTGCGCACATTGCCAGCAGTGCAAAGGCGGCCGCTACAATCTATGCCCTGACATGAAGTTTTTCGCCACCCCACCTGTTCATGGTTCATTGGCGAATCAGATTGTGCACCCCGCGGATCTGTGCTTTAAATTGCCGGAAAATGTGAGCTTGGAAGAAGGGGCAATGTGTGAGCCCTTGAGTGTTGGGGTTCACGCTTGTCGGCGAGCCAATGTTGGTCCCGAAACAACTGTTCTGATCGTCGGCGCAGGGCCGATCGGGCTGGTTTCCGTGCTGGCTGCTCGTGCTTTCGGAGCACCAAGAATTGTCATCGTAGATATGGATGACAGGCGTTTAGCCATGGCAAAGTCTCTCGGCGCCGATGGCACGGTCAAAGTTTCGACAAAAATGGAGGATTTAGATGACGAAGTTGCCAAGATTAAAGAAGCTATGGGATCCGAAGTTGATGTGACCTTCGACTGTGTTGGCTTCAACAAAACCATGTCTACGGGCCTCAATGCCACTCGTCCTGGCGGCAAAGTTTGCCTTGTCGGAATGGGACACGGGGTGATGACGGTCCCTCTCACTCCGGCTGCTGCCAGGGAGGTTGACGTGGTTGGAGTTTTTCGTTACAAGAACACATGGCCGCTTTGCCTAGAGTTTTTGAGAAGCGGGAAGATCGACGTGAAGCCGCTTATTACCCACCGGTTTGGTTTTACCGAGAAGGAGGTGGAAGAAGCTTTTGCAACCAGTGCTCGGGGGGGCAACGCCATTAAAGTCATGTTTACTCTATAGCAAATCAACCATGAAGTTGCAGAATTTCGGATTGTTTGAGGGGGCAAGTTTGTGATGGTTTGGAAATTTGGAAGTCATCATCTCGGATGAAGAATGTTCTTGTTCTAAAGTTCGTGGAAACTTGTTGTACAGGGACCATTGTATACCTTTATTAGATCTCGGCATGCACCAGTGTAGTAGCTTCCCGTATTTTTAACATGAGTCCGTCAATATATATGAACTATGTATGTAACTAAAAGTTCTTCAATATAAGTCTTTTTTTCCGCTGAAGTTGTTTTCATTTGACACGAGTCTGTTGGCCTTGCTTCAGTTCCTTTGGACCATCGAAGAGAGTACTAGACACATCGTGATGGAGAAATATAGACGTACTTCTATTAGTGTAGAAAATATATACCTTGAGTTACTGTTGTTCCAATAGCATTTCTTGCTGCAGTAGCGTATGGTAGAGCAGTTTATGAATATCTACGCGGTGGATTTGATTTTACCAAAGATGATGAGAATGTTAATTCCTAACAATTTTACAAATTATCACAAACCCAACTTATTAAGTTAGAGAAATTGGTCACAAGATGAACATTCTTTATCACTTAAATTGCAAGTTACTCTTTCCTCTCTCTTTTTCACCCTAAGGCATTTTCTTTTCACCCTAAAGTTGTAAACCTAATACTTTTGTGTTAACGATGGTTGTCCAAATACTACTTTTGAGGGTTAATAGAATCTAATATTTCTTTTCTAAAACGAAAAATAGTTAAAGAGCAAAGCATTTAGAGCAATTCCACCCCTAAGACTTTACGCCAGCACCCAGCGCATTTATCCACTCAAGTGAACAGTAATAAACCCCAGTGAATAGTAATAGGTCAAAGCATCTCCACCCCTAAAAAAATGCGCTGGCACCCAGTCTAAAAATGTGTTGGCACAAACGATCTTCAGCCTTACAAAATGCGTTGGCACCCAGCCCATTTAAAATTTTTTAAATTTTTTTATAAAAGAATAAATAAATAAAATAGTTTTAATTTCGGATAAGATTTTTTAACCAATCTTGTAACGCCATGTGTCATTATCCGAACGTACTATTTTGTGAATAGATTTCCTCTAAGATTTGCAACCAATCCCGATGCGCCACGTGTCACTATCTTCTTTTTTTTAAGTTTATATGGTGAGGTTATGTAATTTTATGTGGTGTTTTTTTTTTTTGTAAAGTTTATTTGGTGAGTTTAATGTAATCTTATTTGGTGAGTTTATGTAATCTTATTTGATGTGTTTAAATAAAGTACAAAAAATAAATTTGAAATTACATAAAGTTCTAAAAATAAATAAGAAATTACATTAAAAATTACATAAGAAATTAAATAAAGTACTACAAAGAAATACGAAATTATACAAAGTCAGTGGAGCTAGGATATGTGGTGCTAGGATCTTCGTTGCTAGGATTTCTGTAGCTAGAACCCCTCGACTTGTTTCCGGTATCAGGGTCATGAGTAGTGTGAACCCAACATTCACACAACGTAACATCTTCAATGTTCTTCCACGAAGAAATTTTTTTCTCTCAAAGTGTAGAAAATATTGAAATGTAGATAGTGTAGAAAGTGTGGAAAATATTGAAATGTGGTGTAAGGTGGAAGATGAGGGTTATGTATTTATAGAAAAATAATAATTATTTTTTTGTATTTTTTTATAATTTTTAATAAATTTTAATGTAGCTAATTAATCTGGGCCGTTGGATTTGAAAAATATTCAAATCCAATAGCCTATAAGGTGCCACGTGGCCAACGGTCATAATTCTGTGGGTTGAAAAACGTGGACCGTTGATCTGTAATCGAACGGTCCAGATCAAAATTATAATTCAAATTTTTTTGACCGTTGGAAATCCAACGACATATAGTGGGCCACGTCGCAAGCTCGGGTGACAATTGAGTGCGCCTGTCAGCGGGCCCCGTCGCTGAATTGATGTCTGCTACTCGCGCCCACTCGAGCGTGAGTGCCATGCGCCAGGCGCAAAAAAGAAAATGGGCCTGTCCCTGGGTCAGTCAATTTTAGCATGGCCTGGAGACTAGCATGGGCTGGGTGCCAGTCTATTTCACGGGGACAGACCCCTAGCTTGGTTTTTTAACTGGGTGCCAGCACATTCGCCCTCCGGTGGAAGTGCTCTTATGTACAAACGAAGTCTAAAAATAATGCATACCTAGCACAACTAGAAATCTAAGAATGATCACTTAGTGTCTTTAGTGAGTCAAAATATTTGCAACAAAGTTCGGCTCACTCCAAACACGAATGGACTCAAAGCCTTTTGGCTTGTAGAACACATGTATGAAGTGTTGAGGCTTCATCGATTGGGGCGAAGTGTGAGCCCTTGAGTCTTTTCGGCCTCCGAAATAATGGAATGTTTTAACTTGACCAGCAACTGGTCCCTTTTTTTATTTAAGAAAATGTGAGTTTCAATTAATTTTATAAACAATTTTAAATGTTAAACTCATTAGTACTTGTGGCAATGACTTGATTACATGTTAGCGAAAAGTAGCTCACATAGATGACATGTTATAAAAGTTAGTAGCGTATTTGGCGAAAGTAACGAAACAAGATAAAGTGAGACATAAAAATTGAGTTAGTAGAGTTAGAGCTAAGTGACACGAAAATGAGTTTATAGTGACATAGTGAGTTTCACTCATAGTTTAGGAGATATCAAATTAAACGATCAATATTTTCACCTTTTTAAATTACAAGAACCCTAATTATATTCTACAAATTAAACATTAACCCTTACAATTTTTATTTGGACTAACTAGTTGCCAAACCACAAAGATCCGGCCCAAATCCCGTCCATCTAATCGCCTCACGCCAAACTTGAACTTCACTTCCTCCCACTATGATCTCTTATATACATATTTTAGGGAACTTGTAGAGAATCGACAAAAATGTATTTTCATGTAGCCTTGCTTAGCCAATATGCTCATCACTGAGCTATCCAATATATCGCCGACATTGATGCATCGACAATATTGACAAAGACCGTCTGTGATCTTTGGGAGAGACAATCAACTTGTTCTTTGTTAATATCGTCGATGTGTTGATATTCCTTGTCAGTATTTTCAAAATGGTAATGAGTTCTATTGATGTTCAAAATGGTAATAAGTTCTATTGATGTTGTTGATATTTTCACTTGAGAAATGTTAAGAAGATTTAAAAAAAAAAACGAAACTCTTTATGAACTATTTGCCACATTATACTTTTGTCACAATGTTTTATAATGTTGGCATTGAAATTAACATTAAACAGTGATGTGGTAGAAAGTCCACAGAGAGTCTCACTTTGTGAGAGTCTCTTTAGCATTTATCTTTTTACTATATTGAGTTTAAGTGGTGGATTCTCTTGATGGTTAGGGTATTTCTCTTCAACCCATTATATTATCCGGTCAAAAATCCTATCATTTTGGAGTAAATTAGTGTAGAACATCATTTGTATGTTGCATATATGAAAAAAAAAAATATTTGCTCACCGCCCTCACATAATGATAATACTCACCAACATAATTCGAGATATATATACTAGATATAACTTTCAAAATTTAAGTTTATCCAACAAAGATAAATATTATCAGCACTTGAGGGCCACGATAAAAAATACACCCATACGAAAAGACGGTGTAAATGAGAGGAGAGATTTTGTAAGAGGGGCCACTAAAACAAATTTTCCAATATATTATGCTTCATACGCGTGTGTCTAACTGTACACCTTGTACGTGGCACCTCATTATCCATTGTTGATGTACCACGGCTCCCTTGTACATATTTTAGGGAACTTGTAGAGAATCGACAAAAATGTATTTTCATGTAGCCTTGCTTAGCCAATATGCTCATCACTGAGCTATCCAATATATCGCCGACATTGATGCATCGACAATATTGACAAAGACCGTCTGTGATCTTTGGGAGAGACAATCAACTTGTTCTTTGTTAATATCGTTGATGTGTTGATATTCATTGTCAGTATTTTCAAAATGGTAATAAGTTCTATTGATGTTCAAAATGGTAATAAGTTCTATTGATGTTCAAAATGGTAATAAGTTTCTATTGATGCTGTTGATATTTTTACATGAGAAATGTTAAGGAGATTTAAAAAAAAAACGAAACTCTTTATGAATTCTTTGTCATATCATACTTTTGTCACAATGTTTTATAATGTTGGCATTGAAATTAACATTAAACAGTGATATGGCAGAAAGTTCACAGAGAGTCTCACTTTGTAAGAGTCTCTTTAGCATTTCTCTTTTCACTATATTGAGTTTAAGTGGTGGATTCTCTTGATGGTTAGGATATTTCTCTTCAACCCATTATATTATCCGGTCAAAAATCCTATCATTTTGGAGTAAAGTAGTGTAGAACATCATTTGTAGGTTGCATATATGAAAAAAAAAAAATTTGCTCACTGCCCTCACATAATGATAATACTCACCAACATAATTCGAGATATATATACTAGATATAACTTTTAAAATTTAAGTTTATCCAACGAAGATAAATATTATCAACACTTGAGGGCCACGATAAAAAATACACCCATATGCAAAGACGGTGAAAATGAGAGGAATGATTTTGTAAGAGGGGCCACTAAAACAAATTTTCCAATATATTATGCTTCATACGCGTGTGTCTAACCGTACACATTGTACGTGGCACCTCATTATCCATTGTTGATGTACCACGGCTCCCTTGACTTTATCATGCACATTAAAGCAAGAAACTTCAGGAGGGTTGCAACTCACCGGTCACCGAATTCGATCCCACATATTTCTGACGCGGGAATTAGTCAGTCGTCACCTACCTTGGACGCGTGCCAGAAACCCTAAGGCTTGCTGGCAACACAGAGAGCACATCTCGTGTTTAAGCCTGGCTACACAGGGACCAACCAACTGTTACTAAATAATTAGGTTTTTGGTCGGTTTTTGTTGGTTGATAATGGATGGTGGGAGTCATTACTGCACAGAATGGCTAATAGATTATGCTAACCGACCAAAAATATATTTAATTCAGGCGTTAAAGGAATCCCATGAAAAGTAACAAAAGAAAAAGATAACTTCTAAAACAAGATTATTATTATTATTTTAATTTACTATTATTAAGAGGAGGGGGAGATTTTTTTTTTTATCTTTTGGGGAAGATATTGAAACGACTAATTACATTAATTTAGAGAACATGAGAGTTTTTAATCCTGAGCTATATATGTATATAAACTCAACGCTCTATCAATTAGAATATTGAATCACATAAAAGA